TTTGCACCTAGTCCCCAATTTTCCTGCCTTTTCCATTGATCCCTATCTGTCCCATTTTTCACTTTTCCGATTGCTAGATTGACTAGAGTAGTTCACTCTCAACTCCTGCATGCGTCGAGTGATCAGCTGGCAATCTCATGGCCTAATTTTTTTTTCACTGAATTCTTCCTTTCCCGCTTAAACCAGCGAGGTCCAATTATCGAGTGCTCGTGAACTAGACGTCAGTGATTTTTCAAAACTGACGCAAAGCACACGACTAAAATTCAACTGTCACGAGCTCCAACATGAGTTTACTCGGTGAGTACTTCGGACTTTGACATTTTTGACATTTGGGGAAAGCATGAAAGCCGGGAAAACTCGACATTTTTTCTAATTCATAAATAATTAAATAATTTTCCAGATGACGTGGAAAAACAGGTGGATACAGTAGTTCATCTGCGAATCAATCGACCCCTGTACGACCAGAATTCCCTGAATCAGGAATTTTCGTATGAAAAACCCAAGACATCACGTGAGAATTATTTCCTGCAATTTAAATTACGCGATAACTCGTAATTATCATGGAAGCGTTAATGGATTCATTGATGAACTGATTAACATTTACTCTTCTTATTGTTATTCACCCATTTATTTTTCCCAGTTATCGATAACATTTCGACGACTCTGAAGCAACAGTCATGTCACTCTTGTGCAACATCAGTGCTACCCGTTATAGATTGGCTGAGGAAATATAAATGGAGAGACGATATACTCTCGGATATTATTTCTGGTATTACAGTGGCGATTATGCACATACCCCAGGGTATGGCGTACGCACTTCTGGGAAATCTACCACCAGTCGTTGGTATCTACATGGCTTTTTTTCCAGTGCTCGTTTATTTCTTTTTTGGAACGTCCAGACACGTCTCGATGGGTCAGTTGCATCGAAATAGCAATTCAATTTCAATTCCAAATGCATCTCGAGGCTTGAGACATTTTAAAAAATTTTATAATAATGTCATCCTCAGGAACCTTTGCCATCGTTTGCCTAATGACTGGCAAAGCAGTGGCTGCTTATTCAACACCTCAAGATACCCTGACTGACAAGGTCAATGGTAATGAAACAGTGCCAATCTACACGCCACAACAGGTGGCAACTGCTGTGACATTCACCGTTGGAATAATGCAGGTAATTCCATGAATAAATTCATCTTGAGGAAATTGCAATGACGAATTTTTTACCTCTAGATTATGATGTTCTTCTTACGGTTGGGAATTATTAGCACTTTACTCAGTGAAACACTCGTTAATGGCTTCACAACTGGAGCTGCTATTCACGTACTCATGTCACAAATTAAAGATCTTTTAGGACTGACATTACGGAGACGTAAAGTTGACCACTTTGAAATGGTTTATGTGAGATTTATTTAATTATTCACGCGAGTTATTTCAATTATTCCATTACGGAGTAATTGGCTGGAGTGAAATATATTTTTAATTAATAATATTCATTCCAGACGACAATAGACACAGTGAGAGGCCTGAAAAATCCAAATTACGCAGCGATTATCGTATCAGCTGTTGCCATCGTAATTATGTGGTCGAATAATGAATATTTGAAGGTACAGCTAGCAATTTCCATTGATTAACCAATTATTAATTCAACAATTATGGAATTATCACAGCCCTGGATCAAGAAGAAGTGCAGTATGCCACTGCCAATCGAGTTAATAGCAGTTGTGACCGGCTCATTAATATCCAATTATTTCGACTTGTCCGGACGGTACAGCATCAAGACTGTGGGTGATATCCCAAAGGGGTGAGTTGATATTTCCATGAAATATTCCCAAACTCATGGGGATCTGGGTTAATTGAAGGTGAGATTAATGATTCTGCAGACTGCCAAAGCCCGAAATCCCCACTTTCCAGTTGCTGCCGACTGTTGCTGTCGATTGCATTGCCATCACCATGGTCTCCTACACTATAACGCTTTCAATGGCCCTGATATTTGCTCAAAAACTCCAGTACGATATTGACTCGAATCAAGAGCTATTTGCAATGGTAATTCAATTATTGGAAATTGATGGGATTTTTTTTTAATTAAAATCCCAGTGATTCTTCCTCAATCCATGAATCATCCCTTCCTCATAATCTCTCGATCCACTAATTTCTCTTGGTGTTTAGGGTATTAGCAATGTAGTAGGATCATTCTTCCCCTGCATGCCAGTGTCTGCATCGCTCAGTCGATCTCTGATACAACAAACTGTAGGTGGAAAAACACAAATAGCCAGTATTGTTTCCTGTGCTCTCCTATTAATTATTCTACTGTGGATTGGCCCCTTTTTTGAAGCTTTGCCAAGATGTGTGCTGGCGTCAATAATTGTGGTACGTGGAGTCAATGAAATTACGAAGGATTTCAGTAAATTGAGAAATTGCAAACCGATTCTTCTGAATTGAATGGATCGATTGTTTTTTTCCAAATTGTGATATATCTCTTGATGATTGCAGGTGGCTCTCAAGGGAATGCTCCTTCAGGCTAAACAATTGCCCAGGTTCTGGAGACTCAGCAAACTCGATGGAATGGTTTGGATTGTCACTGTACTAACAGTTGTATTGATCGGAATTGATATCGGTTTACTCGCTGGCCTCCTCACGTCTGTTGCCAGTATTTTGCTACTCAGCATAAAACCATATGCCTGTTTACTTGGACACGTGCCAAATACTGATTTATATCTGGATTTGACTCGTTACAAGAGCGTGAGTTCTAAATATTTTCCACTAAATAATTTTCCCCACAATAACGCATAAATTCAATTCCAGATTATTGAACTCCAGGGAATAAAGATTTTCCACTACTGCGGGGGTTTGAATTTCGCTAATGCTAATCACTTCAAGTCCCAGGTCTTCAGTTTGGTGGGGGTGATACCTCAGAAGGTCCTGAAAATTCGCGCAAAACGGGCGAAAAATGGGCTGCAGGTGTATCAGGAGCAGGAAGACCTGAATTGCGTCATAATGGATATGAGTGCTCTGAGTTACGTCGATCCCAGTGGTATTAAAATGTTACATGCCATTGCTGATGATTTTTCAACAGTTGACATAGAAATTTACATCGCAGGATGTTCTGCTCCTGTCTTTGAGAGTTTTGTGAGATGTGAGAAATTTTCAAAAGGCGATCACAGCTTCAAAATATTCGCGACGATTCATGACGCGGTTACATATGCCTGTGATAAGTTCATAGTCAGATGATATTACGAACTCATAGGCTCAGTAATTTCTTTTTTATTGATTAATTGATTATTAATTGATCGTGAAATGTAGAACAATTAGCATGACAAGAAGATAATTCCACGAGAAAAATAGTATTATTATTTAGTTCATTGTTATTACTTTATGCCAGAGGATTTCGATGGGTAAGTGGAGGAACAGATGAATCATTTATTTTCGATGATAATCTCCGGGTTTACTTCATGCCTATACCAATCTTCTGGCCTCTCCACAAATCGTGCAACGCATGACAATAAATTCTCACACTCAAAACACTAACAGCAGATCGGATTATTTTATCACTCGTGAAATCGCTGTCTGTGATATCGAGTGTTTTACATTCGAGATGACAAATAGATTCTCAATATATTTCCAAAGATGTCAGAATCGTTGAAGTATCCAAAGATTTCACGTGTTACTTAACGAATGCCGACAATTGTCGATGAAAATTGTATAAAAAATTATCAGAATCTGTACTTATGTAATTTTTTAATCGATTTTTGAATAAAATAATGAAATATTTTCAGAGTTATCCTTGAGTTGCAAAATCAATTGTTGTGTGAATATTTTATTGTCGTTTATTATTCAGTGGGAATAAACGAGTAAAAATAACGGATTGTTTTGAGAGGTCAATGTTTTCAGGTGGAGGTTTAAATTCAAAATGGCGATGAGCCTTTGGACATGAACAGAATGAAATTGTCACTCGGAGGCTCAGAGTCGGGGCTAACAGTTGCTTGTGAACAGCTGACTGACTAAATCAATCGTAATCAAAATAATCCAGTGTTAATAATCGCTTATGTCAACGAAAATTTGGAAAGTCAAGGTGATGAGCATTTGTAAATTACCGTGCAGCTTTCATTATTGGTGATTGACTTGGTAAATTCATGCGAGGAATTGAGAAATAAATCGTCTCTAATCAGGTGAGACTTGGACTTTGTTGTATCAAGCACTAACGGTGCATTTGAATAATCATAGGATTAAATGGACACGTCAGTACGTCATTTCAGGAAATTTTGTCGTTGAAAAAATTTTTCAGACCATTTTAATTTTCGATTACATCACGATTCCATGAATTTCCGCTAATTAAATTTCTTGGGATGAGATAATTAATGTTTTTCGTTATGTCGTCGTTAATTTTACCGTAAGTGTGAATAATATATTTTATCTCCCGTAGAAAATGATTTATCATAGTGATATTGTGAAAATAAATGTTGAGGATTTTTTTTTTAAACTATTCATTGATTTAATGGACAGTTGCAGTGATGCACGTGGCGTTATGGATAATAATTATTTTTTGGGGGGGATCTTTGAAATTTTGAGTAGGTCAAAAATAATTTTCGGTATCCATTTATAGCTGTTTCTTTGACAAGTCAAGGAAAGTTCGAGATCCCGGAAAATCAGACAGGAAATAAAGTGGTCTGACGAGTAAATTTTATTTTCAGTTAAACGGATCTCATTCTATCCCTCTAAAGATATTCCAATCATCTGATCCCACGTAACCTTTGACTGGCGTCTGATTTATGACTTATAACTGATGATTGACGGAATAATCAGAATTAAAAAAATTATGATAAGACTGACAGCGAAATTATTCTTTAGTTATCCACAAATTGAATTAATTAATGAAAACACACGGGACCACGTGAGCTGTGAAAACTATAATCCTCAGTGATAAATTTAGTAAGACGAATCGATAACGCATCCTACAGCACATGTTTTCGATTAGACGCCAATTGCGATAAGTGGAATCGCTCGGGCAAAGTAAAAATCGATAAACTATCAATTCACTGATATATATTTTTATTTATTTCTGATTCGAGAAGCATTTGACTTCGCTAACCCGAGACATCAGTGCAGACAATTGATAATCCCCTTTCGGTGAATTCGATGTTCAATTTACTCGTAATTATTGATTTACAATTAAGTGAAGAATATTTAATTATTTCCAATACATCCGATATACGACTGAAGCCCAGAAATTTTTTTACTTTTCACTTGAATTATGCTGCGTACTACAAAATGAAACACTTGTGATTGATAAATTACGGCTATAGATGTGGATAAATTATTCAGCGCGATGTCCCGTTAGAAATATTACCAGACAGTGTAACGAGAGTCGTTCCAGGCCTTTCTCATTATCAATGCTTTGGTAGATAGTGAAGTTGTAATTTAATTTAAAAGTTTTTTACACATTTCACAACGCAAAAGAAGCAAAAAAATACCAGAGAAAGCGCCCGGTTCTACTGAATGTCTTCACCGTGTGTTATTACGGAATTACTTCCGCAAATTTCTACGTGACTCGAGGAGCTTTCTGCATTTCATTGCCATTCATTAGAAAATTTCTAATATTCATATCCATTAATTAAATTGAATAGTAATATATGCAATTAATTGACAGAGATAAATGTGAAATAATTTTGATTCTCAGGAAATTAGAGTTGGAATAATAAATTGGCAATGTTAAACGTTGAGGACGTGATAATGGAGGAGAAAATTGAGACGCTGAGCCCCGGAGTTGAGGAGATGGGGTTGAGACATCGTATCCCCTGGAGCGATCGTGTTTCCTTAAACAGTGACATACCGGGTTTCCACGAGGTCAAAGAGTTGCTGGAGGACGACGATGCCAGCTGTTTGGCAGAGGAGGAGGATGGGGTTGGGTGTCCTCTTCCCTCCACCCCCGAGGACGATCACCTCCTCGATTGTGAAGTAAAAAATAATAATAACTCAACAGCAATGGAAATGAAAAATGTAATCTCGTTTGATTTCAGATGACTGAAGTACTCAAGGCAGGAGTTCTCAGCGATGAGATTGATCTAGGAGCTCTAGCTCACAATGCAGCTGAGCAGGCAGAGGAATTTGTTCGAAAGGTACGTCCCTGAATTTTCAAACTGACCTCGATTGACAATTACAATTGAATAAGTGAGATGATATTAGAGTAGATTTATTACGTGGATAAATATTTGACGAAGGTCTTTGACTTTGTAGGATTGTCGTCCAGGTGATGAATATTTTCCATTTTTTTTTCATTAAATACGTCACAGATCATTGAATTTTTCGTAGCTCATCATCACAGTAGATGCGTCAGTTTTAGTAGAAGAGTTTGAGTAGGCGAATTAGAATCATTGGATAATAACCAATTTTACCCACGAAATATTGTCTGGGTTTGTCTAATGTACTGTAAGTACTGGTTACAGGTTTGGGAGGCATCGTGGAAACAGTGTCATTTTCGTAATTTACCAAGGTGGCTGCAGGACAACGATTTTCTACATGCTGGACATCGTCCACCCTTGCCGTCCTTCTACGCTTGTTTCAAGAGTATCTTCCGTATTCACACAGAGACTGGCAATATCTGGACTCATTTATTGGGTGAGAATCACAAATTATTCTCCGCGATTAATTAATACCAATTGATTAAATCAATTATTAAATTCGATATTTCAGGTTGTGTAGCCTTTATAGGAATAGCAATATTCTTCCTAACACGACCGCCCATGGAAATCCAATTCGAGGAGAAGATTGTCTTTGCAACATTTTTTGCTGGTGCAATAATATGCCTTGGCATGTCCTTCGCCTTTCACACTGTTCACTGTCACAGTGAGTGTGTTGGAAGGTTATTTTCAAAGCTCGATTACTGCGGTATTGCAATGCTCATAATGGGTAGCTTCGTACCCTGGCTTTATTACGGTTTTTACTGCGATTATCAGCCAAAACTCATTTATCTGTCTGTCGTCGTTGCTCTTGGGATCACGAGTATTGTTGTATCATTATGGGAGAGATTTGGTGAACCCAGTTATCGACCTCTCAGGGCAGGTGTCTTCATGGGATTCGGTCTCAGTGGAGTGATACCTGCAGTACATTATGCCATTGCTGAGGGCTGGTTCAAGGCTATCAGTCAAGCCTCTCTCGGTTGGCTCATACTCATGGGCTGTCTCTATGTGTTAGGGGCATTGTTTTATGCACTCAGAGTTCCAGAACGATTTTTTCCAGGAAAATTTGATATTTGGGTGAGTTTTACGTTTACTTGGTATGTTTCAATATTTTTTTTTATTTATTTGGATTTTTTTTATCGCAGTTCCAGAGTCATCAGATATTCCATGTGCTGGTGATAGCAGCTGCCTTCGTTCATTATCATGGTATTACCGAAATGGCAATGTACAGAATGACTATTGGTGATTGTGCCAATCCAGCACAGGTTCTAGCCTTTTAATTGTTGTTTCATTTATACGGGTGTTATGGAATCTTGTATCAAGGTGTCTCTTCAATACTCGAGATTTATCCACTATTTTATCTATTTTTTCATTTCCTCGGTCGTCCATAATGCGTTTTTACTGATTATAGTTGGGATATTTTGGGATTATTTTATTCTCATTCAGTGCTTGAGAAAAATTTACGTAATTAATCACTAAAAATTTAGTTATCTTTCGTAGTGATTATTTTTTTCAACGGAAAAATAGATCAGAACTCCAGGGAAATAGTGGAAAAAATAACGGACAAATTTAATTAAAAAATCGTTATTGATTTAGTACCAATGGAGCATTAATTTAGTACAGATGATTTCCCAGGGGACGTCTCTCAATTCATCATACGAATACTTTATTTTCTAAATTTTTATAGATTCAGGGGAGTTCTTAGGCATAAATTAATTATTGCAACATGACTTTTTTTTTGGAAAGATCATTTTTGGAGGGACACGAGTGGAGCAAAGAGAATAAAATTAAAAATGTGATAAATAATTTAAAGAACATCGACAATTTTCTATAAAGTTTCCTCAGGTGTTTATCTTCCAAATGGGGCTGATTATTCTCTCTGAAGATATAATAAACAGAAGTTAAATGGAGTATCATTTTTTCGCACTCATCTGAACGATGAAATTCCATTGGTTTTCTAGCCATTTTATTTACTTATTAACTTTTTATCAATGCAAATCAATAGAACGATTAATCACTACAAGAAACATCACCTATAAATGATCTTTACAGATTTTTGATTATTCATGGTAAAAGGAGTCATGTGATGCTGTATATTAGCATTTATATCTTATTGAAATCTTTAAATAAATAAATGTGTAAATATTTTTGAAAATCACTGTATCCTCTATAGAACCCGCTTCTCCCCTAAAATCTCAATTTATGATTGTCAACATTAATAATCCGAAAAAAGAAGAGACTTTTCGTATTCTCTGGTGCATTGATAAAATTTGAAGAAAAAAAAAACTCAACAACATTTTCAAAAGTAAGAGGTACTCTATTCTTTGAGAAGAATATTATGGCCAAAATAACATCCATTACAAGCATTCATAATAAATAAAATTAGCATTAGTGTCTTGAGTATTTCTGGTGACTGATGGAAAGCACTCAGTCCATTTAAATTCACCGACTTCACTTATACTTGCTGGCAAGTTTTAAGAGTTTTATCCAGCACTATCCGGACACGTACTTGTTACTGTATCTCGGTATTCCTCAGAGCATGTCGAACCGCCCACCAGTCTAAACCAAATTTTCCTCTTAACTAGTGGAGACTTCCAACTGGCGAAGATATCGGATTTCCCGTGGTGTGGAATTTCTAGCCGAAATACTTGATGTGAGGGTGGGCTCGGTATCTGGGATTGTATCGATAGGGGTAGTACGTGTACGTGTGGATAACTGAAACAAATAATACCGGAGAAACCAGGAGTAATATCTTTTATTCAGCTGATGCTGTGCGCTCTATTGTTCAGATATCGAGTGGAGAAGATTTGTTTGGAAATTTACCTCTGGAAAATTCATCCAGCAAATTCTGAATTTGCTTTGTCCTTACTTTTCAATAAAAGGAAAAATTCTGTTGCGGCTGTTGCATTCGTGGAAATCCAATCCGTTGAATAATTTCTATGCAAAATTCTGGGAGGCATGCAATTATTATTTTCCATTTTTAATTAAAAATCGCGAATACAGTCGCAAATTTAATACCGAAATGATCTAAAGAAAACTGGAAAACCGGGGAAACGGATTCACCTCGGGATTTTCCAGTTCTATCGGTTTAATTCGGAGATAAAAAATCCACCGAACAAAAGATTTGTCATGCGAAAATTTAATTCAATGTTCTTAACTGACTGTCAAGTGCACGGCGTCTTCTTCTCTCGTTGAAAAACAAAAATTAACACAATATTAAACACCGGAAGTTGTCGGTTATGGCACTCACTGTTGAAGAAAAATCGTTGAAGTGCACTCATTCATACTTTCTCCACCTGGAAATGCGCTATTGTGAGCATCCACTAATGCTCTCATTGAAATCGAGAAAATGAAAAATAAAAATAAACGACAAAAAAAAAATGAAAGTCACACACGTCGTTATACTCGCATGATTTTCACGTAAAACAATTGATTATTTACGTGACTTTCATTGCAATTGCCATGAATTATCGACTAGTTTTCCACTCGAACGAATTTGTACCCCGACGGGAATAATTCACTCGAGTAAAAATACTCGATATAAAATAGACAATTAAACCGGATGGAACATCAAAAGATTATTGACAAATGATCGATAATCAAGCCCCAAAAAATAACGAAAAAAAAAAACAAAAATACACAAAAATTAGAAAACAACATATACATATATTTACAAAAATAAACCAGCGACGTAAGAAACATCAGGAAGACTGGAATAAAATCACAGACGCGTCTATATCCTGTAGATTTTGGGTTCAGATCGATACCTCCAGTAGGCGCCCTTTTTAACTCTATAAAATCCACTCCTCTTCCAGACCCCATAGCCCCCAGGGAGATCGACAGGTTGCAGAGGAATCCCATAGGAATTAGGAATACCGAGGACCCCAAGATTCACCGAGTCCAGGGCATTCTGCTGTTCAAAAATCGGCTTCAATGGCTGCTGCCCATTAAATCCAACTCCCTGATTCTGATAATTCAACTCATTATGTCCTTGATTCTGATAATTAAACTGATGAGCCCCTGAATTTTGGTAATTGAATTGATTGTGCTGGTAATTAAGGGGTTGATCATTGGAGATGCCAAGGTGGGGGTTGATGACGGCCTGGAGAGCCTGGAAGGCTTCCTGATTGCTCTGAGTGTTCTCCTGGTGGGCTTGAGAATTTTCTGGAGGTAATGCCGGGTTGAGGGCCTGGGGCGCGTCCTGGGGACTCGGCTCCTTGTGTTCGAGGTAGTAATTGTCGTTGGTTTGAGGACTCAGTTGGTGACTCTGGATGGGCTCGAAGGTGCCACTGACAACACCAGTGAATTTCCCGATGGCTGACACCTTCGGAGGCCCTCCGAAACTCTCCTCCAGGGTTCCACCACTTTGGGATGACTCCGGATGGTGAGGCTCCACTGGGATGTGATTCTGGTGGTCATCTGAGTGTGGGGAATCCCCTGGGTTCGTATCCTTCACCAGGAGAAGCCCTGGATCCTCTGCTGGGCTGTCTGTAAAGTTCGTCAGTCAGTCCTGTCGTTATTTTCTAGTTTTTTTTTTAGTTCCTCGACTTTTCTCATCGTTTTTAGTCTCGTTAATTGATTAATTGGATTAATTGAGAATTTTAATGGGGAAATTGTGGAGAATTTTCATCCACATTCGCCCCAGCATGCATGAATTTATCCAGTTATTTACGGGATTTACCCGATTTATCCCTAGCGTGCGCACAGTAATGACGGAGAGTCTTAATCAAACACGAGAGTTAATTATCCCATCTACGGAAGCAAGTCGACAGAACGGAAATGAGTGTTCAGATTTTTCCTCTAGCCTCTCGACAACGTCATCTTTGTTATTTATATACAACAGAGAATGTTTTTTTTTTATTAAAAATAGACTCCGAGAATAATTTTCCGCTCTCACTTCTCGAGCTGAGAGACTGACAGACGAATTCAATCAATAAATTTTTCCATTCCCATAATCCCTTCACAAAAAAAATATATACACCGAATAAATAAATGATTAATCAAAAAAAAAAAACTGAGTTTCAATGAATTATTTTTTAATTAATCCCTTGGGATTACTCTCGGAATATTATTCTCGTCCCTGAATTTCAAATATTAATTAAATTGTTCGACATACCGGAAGAGGGACTGCCGTAGGGCCCAGGATGATAAACACTGTGATCGTTGTAAGATGCATCTGGGCTAGGAGGTGGTCCATCATACGAAATATCTACAAAGTGAATAAATTAAAATGAATCAGCACCCGGGGGATGATTTAAATGATTTCAATCAAACCTTGTGTGTGATGGGTATCGTACGAGTAACCTGGTGCACCGTACACTGGTTTTGGTGCACTAATTACAGCACTACTAGCTATCTTGGAACCTAGAGATGATATTGCCTCACCAGCTGACGATATAACCCGTCCTTTCGTCTGCACCACGAAACCTCCACCCTTAATCAGCTGCCCCTTCAACGCCAGTGCACCACCAGCTAGAGCTTTCAGTGCTTGAAGGACAGTATTGAGAATAGCCTTTTTGAAGTCAAAAATGCTGAATTGCTTCGGGCCGTACTGTCAGCAAATTAAATTCCGGAATTAATTTATTAAATCCGTCGTGATTGATTAATAATTCGTCAATTATTCTCAGAAAGTCCTGATTCTGACTGAGAAAACAATTATTTAAATTATAATTACCGGTTCAACTGGTGCTCCGTAGGAGTCATGGGCCTGAGGCCCACTGGATCCTCCGGAGAGTCCACTGGACAGTCCACCAACAGCTCCAACCACTCCTCCAACAACTTTATTTGCTATTCCTGACACAAAATCACCACTTCCTGATCTCTTTATTCTTTGCATCATTGCGTCATAATTGGGATCTTTGTAAAAGTTGTAGGCCGCCTGGGCCAGTTCGTCGATCCTCTTCAGGGCGTCAGTGTTCAGGAGATTATTATTATCATCGATTCGTTCACTATTTACTGGATTTTTATCCTCACTCATCATTTCTGGGACATCTGTCCTCCTGAATCCTGATAACCTGTTCAATTGGGCTGCTGCCCGCTCCAGGAGGTGATCCTCCGTCGCCTGAACGGGAATCAGGCATGTCAGGATGAACAGAATCCACAACGACTGGAAATGGAAAAAAATGAGTGAATGGAGGAATAAAAAATTAATTGATCCCATTGAAATTCTGGAATTCCCTTGAATTAAAAAGGTTCAATTAATTTTTTATCTCGATGACTGATTGAATCGGGCGTCAGCGATTTCATGATTTTTCATCCACTCACTTTTGTTCTCATTCTCTCGAAAATAAACGGTTAAAACAGCACAACACGTGTGTTAAAATGTCCCTAATTAAACGGCACATTAACAGCCTCTAAAAAAATTGTCTCTCCACGCTTTCTGAAATTAGGATATTTCATTCTTCTCCATCGAGAATAATTTCTCCTCGCACAATGAGAAAATAAAACGATTCCCCATGAAAATTGTTGCATGCGATTAAGACATGTGGGTCAATGAATAATTTTCGTAAATAACGTAATAAAAATGACGGAAAATTGCCTAGACGATCTCGTGCGACTTCCTCGGAGAAAGTCCCAGGTATGACCCAATTTTTTCTTAACAATCTCCCAACAATAATCAAAGGAAACGAAAAATGAGGGGTGAGTGAATTTTTCACGGAATCGATAATCGGTTGATTATCATTTTAATGACAATTTGAGAATTAATTGAAGAAGACGGGACGGGTATTCCCTGATCATAACAAAATCATTAATCATTAATCCATTATCATTGGTCCACGGGAATAATATCGACCAGTGTAAAACCACTAATTTTTTAAAATCAAACTCATCATTCATTCTGACGTGAATCGACGTACACGTGCTAACGATAAATTACTCACACATTGATTTCGAATTCTTATTACCCCCGCGAGGATTGAATTTTAATTTTATAAATTGATTTACGTCGTAATTTCATATACAAACAGAACCCGATGTTGTAATTCGGATTTAATTCCCACTGACCCACCGACCGAAAATGAAATCGATAAAAAAATTCGATTAATTCATTCGAAACGACCGGCCATTACAAAAAAAAAAACAATAGATTGTAATGGATTCTGCGATGATATAATAATTAATGGTGATGTAAAAAACATGAGTGAAAAAATTATTTCAATTAAAAATAAAATCGACGATTGTTGTAATCCATTAGATATTTATTAAACATTGTAAAAGGGTAATTATCGTTTCATGGCCGATAGATTCTGATTACTCCGGTGCTAAAATTTTTTACAGGATTTTTTTTCCTGACGGCGGTCAACAGTTATTATCATTATTCCAATTATCCAGAGGTTTTCCCACGCTTCTTCATTAATGTTTATCCCGGAAAATATTTTCTAAGAATTTTATATTGTTATGCGACTCCCCGGGGAGGTACCGATTATTTGTAATCAATATTTCCGGTTTACGTTACGTAAATTAGCATGAAGAAATAAATATCCAGAAATGTATGGAAATTATGTATATAAAATAATTATTAATGGGGATTATTAATATCAATATTCAATATGAAAAAAGGTTGATGATATAAATTTGATGTAATTGGGATTTCCGGCGGAATAAATTATTGCAGTTATTAATTGTGGATTGATTTTCATGGAAAATCGGGAGGAAAACGTGATTTTCGGTGATTTAGACGTAAACTCTTGCTCCTTTGCCCCCAGAATTTATTTAGGGTACATGTAATGTACGTAATAACCCGGGGATACATTAATTTCCGTGAGGTTTAAGCGCTCGACTTGTCAGGGCGAATGTAACAAGTGGAGCGACTCGACTTCACGGTGAAAGTCCTCAACTTCTGAGATGATGGGTAAATAATTTTATACTTGTGAATCGACCACGCGCGTACGTCAATTCTTTTTGTTGTAATCATGAACAATAAAATGTGGAATGATTCCGGGTCATTGCACCCCCAGAGATAAATCCGAAAGATAATATCATTCTCACTCACGGCTTTCCCTTTTTTTCAATTCCGCAATTCCACTCAATTGTTAATTCCCGTAAATTAATTACTAATTACGAATTAATAGATTCTTCTCCCTCAATTCACGAATTATTAACGAAATTATGAATCATAGATTTTTTTATGAAATAATGAGAAAAATGAAATAGCAATTGAAGCTTGTATTTAATTATTGAATACAAGGAGTAGAAATAATTGCACATTGCGTCAATGTAAGCGATTACTTCTGTGAAAAATCCAGGACAACTCGATTAATATTAATGACAGGCGAGTGCTCCGGTGGAATGTCAATAGATGGAAAAATATCGCGAAAGGAAATGCTCGAGAAAAACTGGCATTTTGAAAAAGGAAACGAAAAGTCAGTGCGAGAGTGAGTGAGAGTCGATCCTTGATCTTGCGACTGTAAACTCGACCTAGATAACACACGAGAGTCATAGGGGCAGGAGTCCAATCCGTTTTTAATTCATTGAGCCTAAAAAATCGAATTTCCCTTCAAAATTGAAAAACCGCAAATTTTAAAATCAAAAAAAAATTCATTCAGTCCCATAATAATTTCCAATTCTTCCAATTAACTCTAAAATCAATCAATAAATTTTTGCGTTCTCCAATTTTGGGATGGAATTCCACAAAAAATGGAGGAATTATTAATTTAGTAATATTTAATGAGCGGATTTGATATTTTCTGTCTTTCGCTTTCGGTTCTTGACGTTTGTCTGTCGTTTTGACAGCTGATCTCAATGGGAAATCCCCGGATTGAATTTTTAATGAACTCTTCAATTTCGGGGTCGGTAGCTACATTCTCTCGTTTATTTCTCTGTAATTCTGTCGAACGGTTTCTCGATGCCGAATAAGTGAGAGTACAAAGATTGATTCACGCCGACTTTCTCATCGGTTTCCGGTCGACGGGGAAAAGATTCTATCTCGGCATCAAATACCTGATGACTGGATTTAACGAATTATCATTGATTAAAAAAACACTCATTCCCGAATTTTTCACAACTTTTTTTCAAATTTTTCATTTATCAAAAGTTGAATGATAACAAAAAAAACTGAATCTTTGGATTAATTTATAATTAACCGATCAATTAATTACCAATCATGATTATTATTATTATTATTAAAATATTTGTTATGAATTCTCCAAATCCAGGGATTAATAAATTGATTTTGAATTTAAAGTTTAAATAAATCCGGAAATTCTAGTGAATTTTTCGTTTTTTAAATTACTCTAGGGATTAAATTTTGTAAATAAACATTTAGATGAACTCCGCGATGGTGAGGGAATATTATTATTATATTCTCCAGCTGACACAATTCTGTGTTTGAACACACCAAAAAAAAGAAATTTCGAAGAAAGTATTTTTGTCCCGCGTCTCGACTCCTAGAAAGAAGATTTTCAACTTTCGATGGCACTCGAAATGGTAACTATCGAGAAAGTTATCGACGCAAAGCATTAGTTCGGAAATTGTTAAATATAATACCGAGAGTGAGAAATAAATTGATTAATAATTAACGGTATTAACGTAACGAGCATGAACTTGAGTGGATAAAAAAAAATTGGGCCCACATCATCAATCGATTGCGAAGGGAATGAGTCCCTGATCACTTGCACTAATCACTGAGAATCGGTGATGATAAGGGAGTTGGGGGTGTTTTTTTTTTGGGGGGGTAATCCCGGAAATATTTTTTGTACCTTCATGGTAAATTCTCGCGGCTATTTAACAGAACACGTTGTGAACACACAGGCACTCTCACTTAACTTTACTGAATGGTGCCATCGTCTTACAGTTTACTTATATTCAATCCCCACCTTTGCGGTCGTATAAAACTCATACGTCCATCCCCATCGAAAATAATAAATAAATAAATAATACAACCCGAGAATTCCCCAAAAGGACTCATTATCCAAAAAAAATTATGATAAATAAATAATGAACGGAATAATGTTCCTATCGGAAATAAAAAAGGAATAATTAAATATATATATTCAATATATAATTAAATACATAAATAATTTTTTGTGGGGTGAGTGCAATTTTGATTAATTGTCGAGTAATTACTGCGATTGATGGAATAAATAAAAGAAAAAATACTGGAGTATCTGATAAATAAATAAATGATTTGTGAATGTCAGGAAAGTGCGGGTACATGCGAAAATTCTCATTGAAATTCGGGATAAATCGCGTTAATGAAAGTCGTAAGTGAAATGGTGGACAGCGCTTTCTTGAATAATAAATTTGCAATTGAACAATTGATTTAAATGGAATGATTCCGCGGATTAAATGTCAGTTTCGTTTGATCTCGAAATTGAGATTTCATTCTCCATTTGTTATTTTTCAGATTAGCATTAACATTCCACGAGGAAATAACTGGTAAATAATTGCGGAATGCGCGATAGCGACAAATCCATTTTTTTTTTTTTGGTTTAGATAAATTCTGTCACTCGATCCACCGATTTTTTTGTCCTTTCTCCTTCAGTTATCGGAGTAGATTCCCTCGGATGGTACAGTGAGAGTAGAATTAACTGTTTTTGAATAAAAAATACTTTCTCCTGATTACGTGATCGGTCTTCTTCAGGTTCACGACCTTCTAATTACGGATTTTCATTAGAAATCGGGAGACACCATTTTCGGTCAGCGATTGTTGAATTTTTTTCATCAATTGATTGATGATTGATACTTCCTTTTTTATTATAATTCCGCGTTTCTATGAATAATTAACCGCACACTTCCGCTGGTTCATTAGTCCTGTCCGTTTATTACCGATTTATCTCACAAAATCTGAATCCTGGGAAAAAACACGAGAAAGACTTTTTTCAGCCGATTAAATTCTCCTCCACAACGGAAACTATCGATTTTTAGAAGAAGTATCAAGATACCTTTTTTTTAGATAATTAAATTTAAAATAAAAAGTTTCTCTGGTGGTTTTCTCTGGACCCAATAGTTTTTCGGGAAAATCGGTTTATTCCTGTAATTTGGGCTTTAAGTAGAAATCGATTTGGTCGAACAACATTGTTATCGATATGGGAGTGCGGGGATTAATAAGAGCGTGTAATCCTCGATGGGGGAAGGAAATATAATACAATAAACGCATGGTTAATTTTCCACAGGTTAAAGTCACTGATTACAGTAATTACGAACCCCTGAGCTTTCCAGTTCTCCCTGAAACTGAAATCCATATCGTTGTTATGAAAATGGAATTGTCGATACAATGTTGACGATTTCTTGGGACCGACACCGGATGTAACACCGGAAATCCTATTTTATATCTCAATCGCCATATGTTGGCACGAGGAAATTAATCGAATCGAATGCCAAAAGCTTTCGCGAAAAAAAAATACATCTCATCCAAAAAAAAAATGTCTCAATTCCCCCGATTTTTCGTATTAGTAATTTAATTGATTTAATTGTAAAAATAGGTGAGTAATTAATGGCTTTAGTTGTAATTAATAAGAATTATTAAATTTAAATACAGAAAAAAAATAATTATGAAATGTCAACATTTGGCGGAAATCCATTATCATAATTAATTATCTGATAGAGCGAGGAAATTATAATGAGAAAGGCGCCTTTTAGCCGGAAGCAAAAGGGAATTTCTAGACGTTCCACAAAATCCTAGTGACGGCTAATTAAAAATTAAATTAACAAAGTGTCGATGGCAGACTAGATCGCGTGTGCAGAAAAATCGCAAGTAGTAAATCGATAAAAATAAATCTCATGGATGGATATTCCAGGATAAAGTGCCAGGACAAGCCACAATGTTTACGATTCAGTTACCCAGACTAGAGGATTTTGTTTTTGCTTTTATTATTATTTATTGTCGATGTGGATGAGGCAATTGGTGTGGATTTAACGACCGCGACAAACGAGAGACTAACGAGTGTAAATAACATGGAGAAATGAGTCGTTTGGTCCCATTCTGTCATGACACATGGGTTTTTGACAGTGCAAAGAAGAAATTATTGTCATCCCCATTAAATGACCTGTAATTTAAAAAATATTTCCAAAAATTTCCGGAAATACTGACATGTAAAAAAAAAAGAGAAAAATCCTGAGTGACACTAAACCCTGACGGCACCAGGTGAATCCAAAAAAAAAACTCCCGAAGATGATGTACCCAATGAAATTGAAGTGCAACCCAGAAAAATAACGCAACGAGTGAACAATTGAATTTTTTCTTAGGAATTCGCGGAGTAAAAATTGGCGTCAGACCCCCGTAAAGACGAAATAATCACTGATAAATTCCTGGAAAGTGAAAACTCCTCAAGAACTACCTGGGGCCTGTCATCCTGGCGCCAGTTGTTGTGATCAACAGAAGGGATTACGAAGACAATGAAAAATCGAGGATATCGATACCATAAACTCCCGGGGTTATCCTCGAGGGTCTTCACCTCCTAATGAGACCAAAAACCCGTCAGGTTCTTGCACCTGTGCCCCTCCTCTACCTGATGCCCCCCTCTCTCCCTCCCCCCACAGGTACCTCTCTAATTTACAGTTGTCCAGAGGAGGACATGTTTAGAGAGCAGCCAAGGGCCAGTGGTGTCTTTGAATCGACAGGGAACAGATCGACTCTTTAAAAATTAAACAAAAAATAATAATAACAACAATAACAATCAATCAATGATCACGGAATAAGTAGCTCTCGCGTTGCGTTGAAATGAATAATAAATGATAAATAATTGTGGAGACGTAGGTCATGGACTGATTTTTTTTTTTCCTTGATCCTCGTTGACGGTCTGACGTCAGATGGAACTCCCCGGAGCTTTTGATAACCGACGAATAACGTAACGGATTTATTCGTCAATCGTTGAGTCGGAGGACTGAGAAGTTAAACATGTATTTGTGAGGTGTAAATTGTGATGTGTAAGTGTATAAATACTTGGGTGGAAGTGTTGGAATCGTATTGCTGGGAGGTACGTGGTGCCGCATAGTAGCCCGTACTTGTTAACAAATTGAATAGTTTCAACATTTTGACGTTTTAATTTGTTTGTTAACACTGGAGGGTGCACTCGGTGCTCAGGGAGTTGCACATTTTCAGTTAATTTTTTTTTTAGTCTATTTATGAGGATGGAGAGGAGAATTTGGCAGACTGCCGCTATCGTTCTCTCGTTTCTCGTTTTTCTGGTAATTATCGTTTTTTTTTATTTGTATTTGTTTAATTAGAAAATTAAGGTTTAGTTTATTTTTGCACATGGGGAGGTAGTGGCACGTGGCTCCAGTGCGAAAGAGGGGATTGAAGGGGAGTGTTTCAGTTATTGTTGATCAATTTAAGAATGAATTGAACATAAATTATTTAACAACTCTCATCATAATTGGGGATTGTTATAAATTAATTCCGGGATATATTCTTTAATCATCGCGGCATAAAAACGCGGGAAATTGCAATTTATTGTTAATCATTACCCAGGAGTGATAATTATTTTTTTTGTTTATTTTGGCTGCTCAAATTGTTCATCTTTTTTTTTTTTTGGTTTGTGTTCTCCATAAATATTTTCCGACCTATAATATTTCATTATCGTCGGCAGAACGAAAAATCCCGGGGGCATAAAATCCCGAGGGATTCGTCAGACGCAATCGAGAGAATTCACATTCGATTGATGTTCCCTGCAGTATTGATTACGATATCCGGTTATCATGGATTTTATCTCCCGTTATACATCCCCCATTTTTTAATCCAATTTACAAAAGAGTAAAATTGTGGATCCAAAAAGCGGCGAATGGCATCCATTTTTATTGTTTGGATAATTTTTTTCTCATGACGAATTAATTATTTTCGATATCTGTAGATCGATTTGCCGCGGAATTAATCGATAATCACTGATTGATACAATAACATTTGTAAAAATTCGTTCTAATCAATCGAAACAATTTATCGGCGTGATAATGATTTCGGCTGTATTTATAAGTCACAAAATATTCGGATAAAAATAGAAAGATATCGGTATAATTGAATGAAAATAATAGTGACTGATTTGAAAAATAAAATCAATTAATTAAATCCGAGGCTCAATGAAAAATCGTTATTTTTTTTTATGATTTCATCGCGTATTCCTCCGATAAACGAATTCCTGATCGATCTCAATTATCGAATCATTGTCACGATTTCCCGATCGAGATAAGAAAGGCAATTGATCAAACTCATAAAATACGTCGCATGAGGAAGTAATAAACGAATTTTGGTAATTATATCAGATCCAATATAATATTCACTCCTCCCCCCGATAAAAATTCAATTAACCGCGAGATAACGTCCAGAGGATATCCCTGAACCAATAACGGAACAAATACATCGAATAAATTTTTAATAAGACATTTTAAACATTCATAAACATTTGAAACACTTATTGTCATGCCGACATGAATTACGCGATAATTAATTTATTTTCCGATCGTTAAAAAGACGAGTGGAAAGATAAATCTCTCAAGATAAATGATTTTCTGCTGGTGAAATCGAAAAATCGGTGATTAATAATTATTGTAATTAAACATAAAAGTGAGGGATTCAATGAATTTTGTTTGGAGATATAATTTTCAGGAATTATTTATTTATCGACGGACGCATTTCCCGCCGGATGAACGTAATATTCGAAATCGCATGTTCAAGATTATATTTATTTACGCAATTGCTCTTATCGACTCATTACTCATTGTCAGAGCGACGAACTGCAGATTATTTTTCAATATTTCGATCAATTAGATGGGTACGACCATTTTAATTGCACTTGCAGATGACTCAAAGAGTGGAGTGTTATCCTCCGGAGTGGCGGAGATATCAATCCCCGAAGAATAACACCTGGAGGATTCCCCAGGTGATGCCATCCTCGGGAATAGCTTCCGACCTTGAGAGTGATGACGTCGTGGGATCAGAACCGAGGGACAAGGGTCAAGGGTCTCCCCCAGGTGCTGGGGAAAATGAAGAAATTGACGAGGAAACCGAGCGACTCCTCGAGGAAGCTTTTCGATTATCTCCAGAGGAGCCTGACGAACCCGGGGATCAATCCCCCATCGACGAGATGCAACTCAGACGATATGACTTCAAGCGTGGGAGGAGTGAGTAATTTTTTCCCTTCCCCCATCATTAATTATTTTCAATTATCAAATTTACTTGACGTCTCTGAGAATTAAATAACATTTACGAGACGAATAAATTAACAATATTATTTTAGAAAACGTCACATTTTTTTTCGTTTCCCATTCTTATCTTTTAAATTATCATTCGGGCATCGAAATAAATCAGATAAAAATGAGTTTGCAACTAAATTAATGTTATCGATGGAAATAAATAATTTGGCTGACGCATGTTTTAGGACCCGGAGGTGTAATTCCCTCCAAACTTGGTGACGAAATAATATTCCCGGATCACGGTAAGCTGTCAAAGCTGAATAATTATGGAAGAGTGCCGATATGTAGACGTGGAACCTTCTGCGAGGACGTACCGTTCTATCCCACAGATCTGATCAACCGGATCGTCAGGTCAGACGTAAATCTCAAGTATCTACAGATCAGGGATGAGCTAGAGGTAAATTGTCAAAATGTCTTAGTGTCACACCTCGATAAATCCCTTGAACCTCTCAGAACCATTCCATTTCACTTATTCATTTATTCACCTTTATATTTCCAGCCAACGATTTCACTGAGAACTTCAGGACAAGACGAAGTCCTTTGCGAATCAAAGGTAACCGAATTGTTTACTCACTTGAATTATTTTCCAATAATATCTTCTATCGTAGATTTTTATTTATTTATTTACAGAAACATGTAATTCGGCCTAGAGCTGCCCAGAACAGGAATTACGAATGGAGATACATTGCCAACACTGACAACTTCACTCAGTCCATTGGTGTGGAAATATGCGAGTGAGTTTGAATTTTCATTAATTATTTTCCTGATTGATCGATTGATTTCTGGCCAGTGTCATTAAATTAATTGGAAATTCATTCATCTCCAGAAATGATAACTCCGCCTGTAAACTAGTGGACGGCTTCGCTAGTGGCTACAAGACCATGTGCAAACAAAATTTTATCTACCGTGAACTAGTGGCTGTTGTCTCTGGTAAATTGACAAGGGAATTATTTCAAATACCCACAAGCTGCTGCTGTCAGATTCAATTCATTGGAGATCCGAGTCTCCGAATGGGTGTCAACCTGGAGAAGAGTGACACCTGAATACCAAAATAATTCTCCAGGACTTGGGGAATCCGTCTATAAATTCCTTCGACTCCTGGACTTTGTTCCTTTTATCAAGTGCAAATGGTCATCCAATGGTCAGACCCAGTGTAATTGTAATCGTTAAGAGATATTTAGTATCGAACATTAAATCCTATCAATACCTCTGCAGTGATTTTCACAGAGTTCTTAATTGATAATCCTTTTGGCAATTGCTACAGGATATTTTAACGTTGTGGGTAATTCAGTCAATCATCAACGGAGATTTTTTTACAATGACCTAGTCTGTAAGATTTAATATATCGAAATATATTTATGAGATTGTATAATTCCTTATGTGTATGCGGTTAGAGAACTTCATTGTGATATTACAATTGTGATTCAATTCGAGGTGTAATTATTATTTTGATGAATAATATTGTCAATTTACTGATGGATTTGTCGCATTTGTGGAAATTCATTGAATGTTTTATTTCATTCGGGGTTTCAGGTATTCAATCAGTCACAAGACGTTGGGGGTCTCGATTCTTTTATCAATGAGATCATCAATTGATTAATTCTATTGCCAAGTGATAAGTCAGGATAATTGAATTTTTTTCGAGGCCTATTTTCGGCCAATATCTCGAAATCGAGGGGAGATACCGATTTTTTCATAAATACCATTTTTGTAGCTCTCATCCTTTACTCCAGAAAATGTTTATACAAAAAATTCGCTATGTTTTCTTAATTTCGAGATATCAGCTGAAAACTGTCCGCGAAAAAATGCACTTTTCCTAATTTAACACTTGGCTATGGGATTGACGATTAAAAATAATTAATAACAATTAGTCGATCAAAAAATTTGAAAAACGTAATTATAATGTTGAAATTAAAATGGAGAAAATCATTTGCATGAAAAAATAAGAGTAGCTGTAAAATAAAACCACTTGTTTATATTTTAAGTTGATTTTAGTTTTGACTTAAGTTAATGTTTAAGTTGATTTTAGATTTTGAATTGTTCTCGTGGAATCGTGTGATCACCTGATTGTGTACACACGGTCCATTTGCAACTCGTTAGTCCGGAATTTACTGTAACCGTGTCATGAAGATCGTTGGATTAAATTGACTGCTGTGTATTGAAGGGCTTAATGAACAATTTAATTGGATCGAGTGTTATCCTGAAACTTGTTGAAAGTTTCGTGACAACGCACACCTGCCAGAGGGTCATTAAACCGGATAAAATAAAAAGTGAATTCACGTAATGAATTCAAAGAATTAAAATGCCAGATTATATTTTTTTACAACTGTACAAAATTAAAAATCAATAGTGAAGTTTTACTATAGGCTCTGACTGTTAGTTATTGTTATTTATTTTATTCTTGGAAGAACGATTTGTAAAGGCAAAGAGATGTGAAAAAAAAATCTGGTATTAGTGCAATGACAATTACCTGAGCAGAAAAAAATGGATGAAATATTTTATTTTCTTGTTACTTTATCCTCAAAATTCCTATTTTATCATTTCTTTTGCTTATCACTTCCTGCGCGATAAAAATTGCGGTCATTCACAGATTGGCGGACACTATTTCATGGGCTTTCAATAAATGAAATATTGCTTTTCATTAGAACATGCAGTTGTGGGATCAGCTGGTGCTGCCGATGCAGGTGACGCGTGGGCAGATCATATTTTCAAAAATCGGTTTAAATAAAAAAAAATCGAATGAAGAACAGAGAGCAGATTGTGGTGAGAGATATATCGAAAAATGTGGACATGTTAAAGAATGAGAAATTATATTAATAAATGCCAGAGGGCAGATAAAATAGTCTTAAGTCCTCAAGATTTTATTCGATTCCAAACAATTTCATATGATTTCGTTTGCAATCGCATGAAATCATGAGATCTCACAATTTTAATAATTTTATTTCGAGTTTCATGAATGAAACTCTGGGCGAATGTTCTGCCCCTTCTGCCATTATGAATAAATATATAAACCATCAACGCAGACCCTTTTTCGTCTTGAATGTCTCGAGATTTGTTTAACCGTTGAGAGACGTGGGAAAATATACCGCAATCTCCTGGAGATGCTGTCCAGAGAAAATGTGGCCTCTATAGATCCTCTCGATGATTCTGTCGTTTGTTTTCGCGGGTTTATAGCGTCATGAATATTTTACTCATGCTCTGCTCACTCTCACTCAATTTTTTCATCTTTTACCAGAAACTCTTCCCCAATATTTAAACAGACCGCCTAA